GCTGGAGCTGCACACGGAGCTGCTGGAGAGCGGCCGCGAGCTGCCCCGCCTGCGCGACTACTTCTCCAACCCGGGCAACTTCGAGCGGCAGAGCGGCACTCCGCCTGCTGCCCCCGCCCCGGCCTTCAGCACGGCGATGGGCGGCCCTTGCAAGGAGCCCCTCCCCGGCCAGCTCAGAAAGTGCCAGGCAGGGCAGGACCCGGGCTCCGTCTCCCTCATGTTCCCCGGCCCCCGGCCTGCGGAGGCTGCCTCCACACCGCCCACACCCTTGCTTGCCCCGGGGGTGGCACCTGGTTCCCATGAACAATGCTTGAGGCACTTGGGGTGCCTGTACACGTGCAGCAAGGCTGCTGCAATGCGCTGCTGAAGCGTGGCAATTGCCATGCTCCAGCATGAGGTGGATCAGTGTTACCGTGCTGAAAAACAGCGTCCCTGTGCTTCGATAAGCTTTAGTTAAAGCACCCCTGTTGCCGTGTTTGTGTGTGGGGACTCTGGTACACGTGATGCTCCTGGCCCTTTATTAGCGGTGCTCTTGGTGCTGTGCTGATTAAAGTGCTCTGCAACCTGGGGCACATCTATAAATGCCCTTGGTGACCTGACCCGGTGACAAGTGCCCTTGCCTTGCCTCAGGGCTGCTTTGTTGCTCGTGGGTCGGGTGGTGGTGACACCCTCTAGGGGCCCCTGGGTGCTCCCTGGCAAGGGGTTCACCTGAGATGCTGTCACCTCAGAGCCACCTGGTGAGTAGGCAGTGGGCCATTTTGACCACCATGCTGACCTCCCCTGTGGGAATGGTCTTCTCTAATTGACAGGCAGGTTTGCAGAGCCACCTGGTGCCTTTGGTGCCACTAGCCTGTGCTAGAAGAGATGTGCATCATTTGTGCAGGGTGCTTTTTCTTTGAGTGAGGCAGATCAAGTTGAAACCAAGCAAGCTGCCTTTAAGGATCATTGGTTGACTGTTCTCATGGATGAGCAAGTGACCTATTTTATGAAAAGGAGCAAGTGTGGCTGTAGGGTTTTTTCACTAAAGTGTCCATGTTCTGCCAAGGTTGATCAAGTGATGATGAAAGGTCTGAAAAAGATAATCATAGGCAATCCCTCAGTTGAGGATGATTGTCTTCCATGTTTGCCTTATCTGAGGGACTGAAGATGTCTGGCAAGGCCAATCCGGGATTGACAGGTTCTGCTGCAACTTGGGCGCATGTTTCCATGCAGCCTGGCTGGCTCTGTATTCTTGGTTCGGTTCATGATTTGTTATTTCTGCCCTTTCTGTAAAAGAAGCCCTATAGTGAAGCTGGTTTGAGAGATTTTCTGCAGGCAATGTTGCAAGGGAAGGAAGACACAAGTCTCCTTCACTGTAAGTAGTGAAATCTGGCTGTTGAAAGGAAGAGAGGAAGGTGACTGGTTAAAATTTAGAGGATGTGCACAGACTTTCTTCAGAAAGAATGTCCAATTTTTGTGGTAGTGCCAGTTGCTTTCCCTTACCCAAATAAAATAATTTATACAAGGGCACACAATAGGCTTTGGATATGGTTAAGAGGTTTCACTTGGTATCTCCACCTATCCAAAAATGCTTCTGTGCTTATTGCTGCTTGATAGAAGACTAATGCGTTTAAACTTAGACCATTACGCACCATTTATTTTGAGCTGTATTAAATATTTCATACCCTACTTTCAGACACTGAGAGTTTCCATGCTGGATTCCTCTTGACAAGATAAATTGAAGTTGCAGAGTTCTGTGTTTCAGGACCTAGTACCAACATAGTGACCGTATAAACTTCCCTGTGATTAAAAATGAAATACCTGTGGTTATCTAATCGGTCATATCACTTAACATTTACAAGTTAACAGAGCAAAGGATGTTGTCTTGGGTAGTTCTACTGGCAATGTATTTAATTAGTCCAGAAACCCCTCCTGAAGGTTCTGTGGGATTTTGGAATATATCAGTCTATAATTGGGTAAAATGTTGGAATTTATTAGTGTCATCACACTAAGAGATTATTTAGTGCACTGAGCTAAAAAACTAAACAAGTTAGAATTTATTTTTAAATTACTTGGGTTAATAAGAATAGCAAATGTTGCTTGTAAGCAGTTTTCATTTAGATCTCAGCTATAAATATAAAATACTTCCGAAAATGTCTCAAGATGGAAAACAAATATCTTTCAGACTGAAAAAAAAAACCCCAAAATTTGATTCTGAAATTCTCCTCTGACTTATATGGGTATCTATGATTTGTGGCTTTCCTTTTATTTTAATTTCATTCAATACCACAGGAGAGAACTTGTATTTTAAAAACTTCTAATAGTACAAACATGAATATAGGGAATGAGTTGGGTATAGTACTTAAAATTATTCTTGGTTCACTGTCATGGGTAGATTGACACGTTTCAAAAGGTTCTGTTGTGCACCTAATACCTTTTAAATACCCATTTAATTTTTAATTTTTCACATTTTGGTGAAATATTTATTTTTTGAGGGTCAGAAGAGAGTTATATTTACCTCCTATTGTAACAGGGACCGGAGGACTTTGCCCAGTGACCTCTGTATTGCACCAGATAAGCTTTAGTATAAGTTACTTGCAGCATAGAAAACTTTTTTGTTTGAAGAGGTGTTGAAAATATTGTATTGTGTACTTTAAGAGCCAGCCTTGGTACATATGCAGAATAATTGATTTTGAAATAAGGGATCACGGTTCTTCTTGTGTCCTAACAGAAAACCAAAATGGCATTTAAGAAATAAACACTTATATAATCTGTTAATTAAATTATGGAAGTCAAGAATTCCTCGTGATTCTGAGACGAGAGACACTGAAGTCAGCAATATCCTGAGTTAATGTATTTCATACTTCCCCAAAATGAGTAAGGGATGTATAGCTTTTTGTATCAGTTTGTAAGCCCATCTCTGAGTGCAGACAGCAAGGTCTTTAAAGTAGTACAGATGTCACAACTGCTTGTTGCAGCATTTCCTTCCCCTTTCCCTGAAGCAGTGGTTTCATGGTGGGCATATAGCACTTTGCCTGGGGTATGTACCTAAATTTTAATAATGGTGGTGGACTAGTCAAGGCATGGTGAGTAATGGTGTTGGTGTGCATTGACATCAGTGTCAAAGCTCTTCCTAAGGAATGAGCATGCAGAGATGCTTTGCTTTGTTTATACTAAAGCAATATCTTGCAGGTAAAGGGATACAGGACCAAAGCATCTTGTGTTGGCTGCTGGACTAGATGGAGAACAGGTCAGTTCCAGTAAGATACGAGTAAGACATGGATCAGCAACTTGCCTCCCATAGACTAGTTCTAGCCTGCCAAGCAATTTCATCTAGTCCATGAAACCTAGATATCAGGGAAAGGGGGGTTCTGCAGTAGGTAAAGTGCTGGCCTACATTGGACAGAGTTGCGCTGTTTTTCCCTACTAATCCTGAATGGTTGCCACTTCCTACTATAAACATCTTCTTTTAGTGAGGTGCAGGGATAATGCTAGTGAGGATCCCATACTTGGAGGTATAGATTTTTCTTCCATATTGTGGAGAGGGATCTTACCTTGATTTTTCTCATTGACTTACAGAAGCTCTAAGTAAGAGCAGAGCCAGGTAAGAGTAACAACATTGTATTGCCTCCATTGTTTTCTGTTTCCTTGACTATAATCCCCCTAGAAATTGCTTTTTTTCCCCCCCTTTTTAAAAGAATTATAGAATAAAGGAAGTGTCACTTTTTTCAGTAGCTTCTCAAATTCTTACTGATGTGAAAGTTTGTGATTTGACCAATGTTTCCAAGTTACTTGATCCAGTGAAAAATCTTTCATTTTGGTTAAGTCAACCAAAGTAAGGGGTTAAAATTTGAATTTTGTGCACGCATGGATTAATTTTTTAATGTGAATGTTAAGAGTTGCACATGGATGCAACTCCTGATGTTTAAGTTACGGACATAAATGAATCTAGGATTGTGGTGTGGGGATTGTGATCACATCTCCTTTGACCGTGTGGCATGTGCACAGTGAAGAGAATGTGCTGTAGCTGCACCTACTTTGCTACAATCCTAGATGCAGGAGACCTCTTGGAGCTCACTGGTATGTCAGCACCAGAACTGTGCAGGTGCCTTGAATGCTGAACTCACCAGCTGGTTGGCCAGGGTCTGGTCAGGCCCCCTGCTTTCATGTGACTCCAGAGCCCAGGGGGTGAGTAAGCATCGCTGCTGTTTGTCCTTCCCTTCCTCCTCCCTCCTCTTAATTTGGCAGTAGAGGCTCAGTCCCTGGTTTCACATAGCTCCAGGGTTTTTCGACTGAGCACTGCCACTGCTTGTCCCCGCTTCCTCTGCCACTGAAATTAGGGGTGGGGGGAGGGAGAACAGAGGCGGTGTTCATCCTCTGGGCTCAGAAGTTGCAGGGAGTCTTTGTAGTGCACAAAGGGGGTTGTAACCATGCTGCTGCACTCTCCTAGATCTGTCCCAGTCATGTAATATCATATGAATGCAAGTTAAGTGAATCTCTTTGTGTTATTGATAGTGTTAATGGAAGCACAAGGAAGATGAGTAGAATTTCTCATTCAATGTGCAGTACATCTGTGATGCAAGTTTGGGAATTTTGGGGGAATGAGACAAAGCTTCATAATATATGCACTTGTATATAGCAAAGGAGAGAATTTCAGCATGAGTAATTAAGCATTCTTACAAGGTTTTGTTTGCCTGAAAAGGCTTTCATTTTACGAGCCAAAGAATAAATATGCAGTGGAATTTTCTTGGTTTTTTCATTTATCTATTTAAGAATATGAACTTTTCCAGCTCAGAAAAGCACAAACAGCTGCTTTCTAAGAAAGGCTTGCAAGGAAAATGCAAATTCTATCAGGTTTTGATGGAATATAATGGCTAGAAAAGAGGTACTGGCACCATCTGGCCTGTGATCAACTTTGCAGTCCATTAGCATGTGTTTTACAAATAATTTTTGGTCCATAGACTGCATAGGATTAACTCATTAAAAGAGTTTATGGTGATAATTCCATTTCTTCAGTCTTTAGATGCATCACTTTTTTGGTATTGCACAGAACCTTAGTGGCTTTTAACAGTCAACTAGTTGTTGTTCCTTGTACTTATGCAAGTCACCCTCTCTTTTTGAAACTGCAACTGTGTGTTTGGCTGCAGATGTAAATAAAATAAACCATACTGTAACTGAGCAGAGAGGTAGTTAGCCA